TGTCACTGTATAGAGAGAAGAGTTTCACTTCAGCGTCTCAGGCACATACTGTACATAAAGGTAACTTAAGCTGTGAAGTCAATAGTTTACTGAGTACCTAAAACTCAAAAACTCACTGCCGTCAAGTAGATCCCTACTCACAGGGACCCCTCCTTGGGTTTCCAAGGTGGTATCGCTACGTAAGTAGATTGCCCAATCTTCCTTCCTAGAAGTGGCTGGTGGGTTTAAACTGCCATCCCTCTGGTTAGCAGTCAAATGCCTTAGGCACTAAGCCACCAGAGCTCCCACTGAGTACCTTCTATGTGCCCAACCCTGCTCTAGATGTCAATTACAATGTAGCAAATGCACTGAACTGAATCCTGAGACTAAGAACTAAGAATATTTTAAACACTATTTTTTTTCATGTTTATTTCTGAACTTTTTTAGTTTTTTCTATTGACAAAAGTATAATTTGTCAATATTGAACTCTATTATTTCCTATTACTTCTTTGAACACACATTTATTTACTAAGTTAAATGTGTTAACATTTTTAGCACACCCAGACAGTACCTGGCAAATATAAACACTGTGTTTATTAAATACGCCATAAAATATCTACTATATGCTAGATACTTAAAAACACAGTCTTTGCAGAATCACAGGGTTCATGGATATGACTTGGGGCATATTTGCACAAGCTTTAAGACAGGAGTCAAACAATGGCAGCCTCAAATTGTGGCCAAATTTGGTCATCTCAAGAATTCTGTCTGGCTTAATGTTGTTGTTATGTGCCGTCAAGTCAGACCCAACTCATAGCAATCCCTCCTTGGGTTTCTGAGGCAGTATCACTACGGAAGTAAATTGCCCCATCTTCCTTCCGAGGAGTGGCTGGTGGGTTTGAACCACCATCCTTCTGGTTAGCAGTCAAATGCCTTAAGAACTATGCTACCAGAGCTCCTGTCTGGCTTAAAAGGGTTCACTTATTTTTTAAATTCATAACCAATATTTAAAAACAGGATATTGTGAGAGAAAACTTCAAGTTTCTGTGTTCTTAGAAAAATCTTCAAGTCTTCCACTCTGAAACCTGCATTTGCTTATTGCAATAATGAGGTGGAAAGGAGGGAGCGTAGAACATACCTTCTCTACTTGACCACAGTCCCCTCTGTCTGGCTCTGGTAGACATTTGAGTTTGGAGGCCAGGATCTGACTTTGATAAAAGCTACAGAACCGAAACCACTAACACTGGGAAGAAAGAAGCCCAAGCGTGATTGCTATGGTAAAAACATTACTGGCAAAACTGTAAAAGTGGAGAGCAATACCCCTCTGGTGCTAATAATTTCCAGCTCTCAGAGGACCACCATTTTTAGGGTTTCAGTATTTGGCTGGTTCTCTAATTTGCATAATAGAGTTAAACATTTGTGCACTGGAGTTTTCTCTTTATATACAACTTATGTTTTAATAGGGCAGGAAAGTTTATTTCATCTGGCAAACCATGATAACTATGATGCAGAGTTAATTGGTAAGATATATAAGATGATTATTCTTTTAAGGTTAAAAAGAACTTTCCAAAGTCTTTCAATCCACTTCCTTCAAAAAGAATCTCTTTTAACTCACCCCAGGCATAGAAATCTATATATTTTTAAAGACAGAATATGGAATTTTCCATAACTTCCATCTATAATCTATGCCAGTGTTTACAAGCCTCACAGTCATGAAATTCTAAATTAAAGTTTGGTTAAATCCGCATGCTTTAGCTTTAGTCAATTTTTTTTTTTTTTTTTTTTCCCCTCCATTTCTGTCTCTTCATGACCTCATGTGTTTCAGAGTAGAACTGCCCACTACAGGGCTTTCATGGCTGTGACTTTTACGTAGACTGCCAGGCCCTTCTTCCAAGGTGTTCCTAAGAGAGTTCAAACTACCAACCCCTCAGTTAGTAGCCATCTTCACTTAACTGTTTGCTCCACCCAGGGACTCCTTAGTCAAAACTAACCATTCCTTGTTTCATAAGCTTTCAAGTCACAAGAAGTTTAAAGACTACTAGAAGTTTCTCTGGGCCTTCTCTTTCTTAGGATAAAGAATTACTATTTCCATTGATATTTCTTCTTTCCCTTCAACTAACACATAGTAGATGCCTTTCAAACACTAGATACCTCAGTTCACACTGAACAACCCACAATTTCATATAATGCTCACAGTAGCTCCACAGAGAACAGTACCCGTCTCTAGATCCAGATGAAGAAAGAGATTACTGAACAAGCCAGTGAGATAAGATTCAGTGTCACACAATTTTTCTTTCTACTGTGTAGTCCTCTGACTTTACATCGGTTTGTTCATCTTCACACCTTCAGAGTGTAATAAAAAGATCACTACGGAATCAGAAATATGAGTTTGAACCCTAGTGATTCTCTCATTATCGGTGTGATCTTCATCTCTCTGGTTCTCTACACCTCAGACGGAAATAAGAGGACTGGCATAGATGATTCCTATAATCCCTTACAAATTTATAAACTTTGTTATTCCAATGTCCTCATTAAGCTCATGGGACCAGAATCTGAGAGTAAGAGAAAAAGCTAAAGTGAAAGCAACCTTCGGATAAAGGGTCTTGCTGTCTACACTGCTCCTCTTGCTGCTGCTTGGCTCTGCAAGGTGTGGTCTCCAGAAACCCTGGGCAATTTCCATTTGGAAGCTTCTCTGTACACTGAACTCTCACTCAACAGTCTTAAGTCCTTTCCTTG